CCCCGTTCATCTCCAATGGAAAATTGATCGATCTAAACCTAGACACCGATATACCGAGTAACATAGATTAGACGCGAGAGAGAGAGAGAGAGAGAGAGAAACGTGCACTCTACTTGCCACACTTGTAGATAAACTGTAGAACTGTATCCATTAAAAAAAAGAACTGTAAAGGAACATTAATAAAAAGCATCTAATAAAAAAAAGCGATATATTTTTTAAAGCAACGTCTTCTCCATCTTGTTCTTCTTCGATGGTTGTGATGTCGAGTGTCGGGAATTGTCGGATCGGACATTTCGGGAGGCAAGATTCGTCTGGAAATTAGCACTAATTTTGTACGAATTGCTTACAATTAACTCACAGCAAAGCGATATAAACGTTACAAATACATAATAAATTTTGTTTTATTTAAATTACGCGTCCATTAAATTAAAACTAGAACGATGGACGCATGTTCATGTTTACATACGCATACGCGCATATATACACACACACAGAGAGAGAAATCGAATACACCTGTGGCGCGTGTGCGTATATACGTGCGTGTGCGTGCGCGTGTGTGTCTATACGTGAAATTTACGTATACAATGATTATCGCAAATTCAGAGTTATTTCATTGATTACGATATACTTAGCTCCAATTAGTCGAATTGCAAATGGCTCTCGAAAATTTAGGAGTCGCGAGTATTCAATCCAACACAATTTTGCGTTGATCTAAACCGACACAAACACTTCGAGCTTGCGTCTCGTATAATTCCATTCTCTCGGCTTGTCTCTTTTCTCGAATAACATTCCTTTCCCTTTATCTTCCTACGTGTTACAATCAACACGTTGTAGTCACACGTCTACTATACTATTCCCGTTTCCTCTCTCCTCGTGACAATAATGCCATACCTTGAAAAGACACACAATGAATTTAATGATAATAAAGTGAATAAATCTGGAGGATCAATGCAAATCGATATATACAAATCGATAAAACACACACTGCACTTCTTGTCTTACACACATTTGATATATAAACAATTTTCTCGTACCTCGCAACGCAACTAATCAGCCTGACAGTTGTAGGTAATATATAACTACTGATCCGTCGTAACTTAAGTCAGTGAAACTTATTTGACAAAAACATGCTACGTTTCTAATAAATGTACGTGTTAACCTTCTACCCGTCTTACACGGCAGTTTTTAAAATTTGACGCGAGCGCAAATTTTACAAATATATGCGAAACAACAAACAGGCTTTAACGCTCCGAAAAAAATCATAAAAAGAGTTTCAGTCATTTCCTTCTAACCTCGCGATTAATTTTCGCGAACATATCGTTTCAGCGTTCGCTAGAGTTAGATGCGATAAGTACGTTTCTTTCTTCTCTTTAATCTGAATCGATTATACCATGCAAACATCGGATCGCGTTTTATCTCGGCTACTCACAATAGCACGATTACAATAGTATTTTTTGTCTCTACCTTATCGCGTCCTGCCGCATCGTTTTCGTCACCTACGGCGGCGCGCATCATCGACTCATCATCGACTGACGCCTCTTGAATATATAATACGATTAGTGACATAGAAGATATTATCTCGCTAATAGCGTGGAAACAGCAAATTTCGAAGATTCGCAAGCAGCGTGTAATGTTCGTCATTCCATAGGGTTCAGTTCGGACGCAAGCGCAATGTTGAACATTATGAGCGTTACGTTCCGATATAAAGGAGCTTGCGAATAGAAGAAGCGTATTACTCTAGCGAAGCACTCTGCCACGCTGAGATGAACGTCATCCTAATTCCGTTCTTCCTAGGTCGGTAAGCTAATAACGTACAACTAGCTGGACCCATGTGTGCCATTCAAAGTCATATTCATCTATTAGGATGTGAAATCTGTGGTGTGACTGCATGTGTTGTGTGTGCGTGACACGGCGAGACTAACGAACACTTTCGGAGGACATTAACGAGGTGCATGTCTAAATCATGAATGTAAATTGTGAAAACAATTCGCTTCGAACATCGCTTGTAATTCTTTTTTTTTTCAAAAATTTTATTTCTTCATCTCTTCTCAATTCTTTCCAAAAGCTTTGCCACCGTGGATCGCATCACTCATATCGGAGTCATCTACTTTTCACAATCAAACGTTGCAATTAAAAATTCTGCATGACTTCTTGAATATTTTCATCGTGAGAAAAAGTTGGCGCTCTGCCTGTTAGAGATACATTCAGCCACGTGAAGATAATATGAAAAGGATGGCTTTGGCTTTTAATTAGTGAATATCATTATTGTCAAAATGATGTTTCTCGAAGAATCATGATTGATACATGGAAGATGGATTCACATGGCTGAACAAGTTTCGCTTCTGAATGTAAGCCGACGATTCTCTCAAAGTTCCAGCACACTCAGCCTGTTATTATGTTCATGCCTGTTTTTAACAATCTAAAAGAAAATTAGACCTAATCGTGATTAGTTACTCTCAAGCGACATGAACGTTCCAATCTGACTAAACATTCTGTTTACTCGCGCAGCGGCCAACGTGGTCGTCAACGACACGTCGGAATGGATTTACGGACCGGAGTGTTTGTACAACGTGAACGTAACCACCGTAATTAAATCGGACTCGCCAACATCGGTATTCAATATCAAAAATATACAGCTAATATCCGCGATGAAGTGTCAGCCGAAGGCGGCGGAGAATACTTTGCTCTGCATCCTGCAGAACTCCACGGAAATCATGTCTCGGCATGAGGATAATACGACTCGCGAGATCAAAACTGAGCAGATATTCGAGATCAAGTTTAACGAGCAAGGCGTGGAGAGCGTGTTGATCGAATCGCCGTCCAACTGGCAAAGTGTCGACATCATTCGGAAGATCGCTAAACAGTTGAGCGTGGACGCCGACATGAACAGGAAGATCGGCGTGTCGCAGTTCATGGTCCCCGAGGTCACATCGTTCGGCAATAGCGTGATGACCATGTACAAGATCACGCGCGAGGAGTTACCTGAAACGCTGGAGACGCTCGACGTGACGAAGGGCGTCGATTTCCAATTGGTGGTGTTGCCGATGGCGGACGGGAGGCCCAGAACGACTCTCACCATCGAGAAATCCAGAATGGGCAACATCATTTTGCCGCGCTCCTTCTTCGGCTTCACAGGGACCGTGAAGATGGTACATGTCTTGTGTTCTTCGTTTCTGCAAAATAGGACCAGATGAGTTTTAGCGTGATAATTGACATCCGCAAGATGTCACGCGAAAGAATTCATTGTCAAACTCGCGGCAAAAACAATATTGACTCAGTGAAAAAGTATATAACGCTGTCGGCCAATTAAATGGAACTTTTCGGCTGACTCAATTAAGTTAAATTAATTTACATGCGAAAAGACCATAGAGATGATCCGCTGATCAATCTGAAATGCATTTTCACTGGATGACTTTTGCAGGGGAGATCCTACAGCAAGATTTACGTCGACGGCTTGAGCGGATTCGAGACCTACGAGATGAAGGATGCGGAACTGCGAGTGCCAGTCTGGAAAAGTATTGTGTCCAGAATAATGGCGTTCAACGTCCTGCTGAGTCTGGACAGTATCGTGCCCGCGCAAGACCCACCCCCGTTCATCTCCAATGGAAAATTGATCGATCTAAACCTAGACACCGATATACCGAGTAACATAGATTAGACGCGAGATAGAGAGAGAGAGAGAGAGAAACGTGCACTCTACTTGCCACACTTGTAGATAAACTGTAGAACTGTATCCATTAAAAAAAAGAACTGTAAAGGAACATTAATAAAAAGCATCTAATAAAAAAATTGGGATACATTTCTTAAAACAACATCTTCTCCATCTTCTTCAATTGTTGTGATGTTGTCGAGTGTCGGGAATTGTCGGGTCGGACATTTCGGGAGGGAAGATTCGTCCGGAAATTGGCATTAAATTTGCATGAATTGTTTACGAGTAACTCACAGCAAAGCGATATAAACTTTGCAAATACATAATAATTTTGTTTTATTTAAATTACGCATACATTAAATTAAAACTAGAACGATGGACGCATGTTTATGTTTACATACGCATACGCGCATATATATACACACACAGAGAAATTGAATACACCTGTCGCGCGTGTGCGTATATACGTGAAATTTACGTATACAATAATTATCGCGAATTCAGAATTATTTCAATGATTGCGATATACTTAGTTCTAATTAGTTGAAATGCAAATGACCCTCGAAAATTTAGTAGTCGCGCGTATTCAATCCAACACAATTCTGCGTTGATCTAAACCGACGCAAACACTTCGAGCTCGCACCTCGTGTAATTTCATTCCCTCGGCTTCTCTTTTTTTCTCGAATAACATTCCTTTCCCTTTATCTTCCTACGTGTTACACGTTACAATCAACACGTTGTAGTCACACGTCTACTATACTATTCCCGTTTCCTCTCTCCTCGTGACAATAATGCCATACTTTCAAAAGACACACAATGAATTTAACGACATCAAAGTGAATAAATTTGGAGAATCAATACAAATCGATATATACAAATCGATAATACACACATTACTCTTCTTGTCTTACACACATTCGATATATAGATAATTTTCTCGCAAAGCAACTGATCAGCCTAACAGTTGTAGATAATATGTAACCAATGTCGTAACTTAAATCAGTGAAACTTATTCGACTGCAAAAGCATGATGCGTTTCTAATAAATGTCCGTGTTAACCCCCTGCCCCTCTTACACGGCAGTCTTCAAAATTTAACGCGAACGCAAATTTCACAAATATATGCGAACAAACAGGCTTTAACGCTCTGAAAAAAATCATCAAAAAGAGTTTCAGTCATGTCCTTTTAAGCTCGCGATTAATTTTCGCGAACATATCGTTTCAGCGTTGGCCAGAGTTAAATACGATAATGTACGTTTCTTTCTTCTTTTTAATCTGAATCAATTATAGATACCATGCAAAAATCGGATCGCGTTTTATCTCGGCTACTCACAATGGCACGATTACAACAGTATTTTTTTTCTCGACCTTATCGCGTCCTGCCGCATGTTGCTGTCGGGTTTGTCAAGTCCAGGATAATTGTTGAACATGTTGGCGACGAAAGCTAAATTGAGCTTGTATATATCGTTCATTGCATCACTCGGTGTGACGAAACTGCGGCAACCTAGTTTCGCCGCTTGCTGAAGCATGACCTCAGACCTGGACATGTGATTCGGTTCCATCAACGTCTCTAAGGTGTCACCAGCTGCGCTAGGTGCAATCTGCTTAATGAGATAGGTGTAGATGTCCGTCGGACATCTTCACTGTTACGTTGCAAACGTATGATTTTGCAGTCGCGCGATTACTTGAAGAGAAATATAATTCGGCGAGATGTAAATCTGTCGTCATCGCGACGGACTGCAACTGCGATTACGGCGTCGCTTTCAAGAGAGAAAAGTTTTCAGACAGCGCAACTTCTGAAAAAAGTTTCTCGAAAAAGACTATTTAAAAAATTAATATCTCTTCAAGAAGCTCTGGGTTGAACGCGTCGAGCTGTGCATTCTCTCGAGAGATATTCGTATTAAAAGTCCGAAGCAGATTCCACTCGATGGCGTCGCGAAAATACACGTGTCTGTGCGAATTTCAAGAAATATGCGAGTCAACAATTTTAAATGATTTAGCGGCGCCTCAATAAAAAAAAGAAGATGAAGATCGAAAAACCGCTCGCATACTATTTGTCATATATATTGGCATGTGCGAGTGTATATGCGTCGCAAGCAGACGTGCAATATGCGTCATTCTATAGGGTTCAGTTCGGACGCAAGCGCGGTTACTGAGCGTTACGTTCCGATATAAAGGAGCTTGCGAATAGAACAAGCGCATTACTCTAACGAAGCACCCTGCCACGCTGAGATGAACGTCATCCTAATTCCGTTCTTCCTAGGTTGGTAAATTAATAACGTACAACTGACTGGAACCACGTGTGCCATTCAAAGTCATATTCATCTATTTGAGTGCGAAATTATCCGTGGCGTGCATGTGTGTGTGTGTGCGTGACACGGCGGGACTAACGAACACTTTCGGGGGACATTAACGAAGTGCATGTCATAAACATGAATTGTGAAAATAACTCGCCTCGAACATCGCCTGTAATTCAGCTTTGTTTCAAAAGTTCCGTTTCTTTATCTCTTCTCAATTCTTTCCCGAAAGCTTTGCCACCGCGGATCGTAACACTCGCATCGCAGTCATCTACTTTTCACAATCAAACGTTGCAACTAAAAATTCTCGCATGACTTATTGAATATTTTCATCGTGAGAAAAAGTTGACGCTTTGCCGGTCGGTGAGACATTCAGCCACGTGAAGATAATATGAAAAGGGTGGCTTTGGCTTTTATTTTGTGAATATCATTTTCAAAATGATGTTTCTCAAAGAATTATGATTGATTCGTGAAAGATGGATTCACATGGCTGAACAAGTTTCGCTTCTGAATGTAAGCCGACGATTCTCTCAAAGTTCCAGCACACTCAGCCTGTTTTTATGTAACAATCTAAAGGAAAAATAGACCTAATCGTGATTTGTTACTCTCAAGTGACAGTGAACGTTCCAATCTGACTAAACATTCTGTTTGCTCGCGCAGCGGCCAACGTGGTCGTCAAGGACACGTCGGAATGGACGTACGGACCGGAGTATTTGTACAACATGAACTTGACCGTCGTGATTAAATCGGATTTAGACCCGGCGGAACCGATCGGTAATATGGAGCTGATATCCGCGATGAAGTGTCGACCGATGGTGGCGGAGAACAGTCTGCTCTGCATCGTGCAAAACTTCAAGACCAACGTGGGCTTGAAAACACTTGAGGAGGAAAACACGACTCACGAGATCAAGACTGAGAAGATGTTCAAGATTAAGTTTAACGAGCGAGGTGTGGAGAGCCTGTTGATCGAGTCGCCGTCCCGCATTCAGATTGTCGACTTAATTCGGAAGTTCGCCAATCAGCTGAGCGTTGGCGTCGACATGGGGAAGATCGGCATGTCGCATTTCACGGGCCGTGAGAACATATCGATGGTCAATTGCACGACCACGTACAAAATCACACGCGAGGAGTTACCTAAAACGCTGGAGACGCACATGACAAATAACGCAGATTTCCAATTGGTGGTGTTGCCAATGGCGGACGCGAGGCCTGGCACGTCTCTCACCATCGAGAAATCCAGAATGGGCTGCAACAATTCGCCGCGCTACCATAGGGAATCCCCCGTAGGGACTTTGAAGATGGTACATTGTGTTTTTTGTTTCTGCAAAATCAGACCAGATAAATTTTAGTGTGATAATTGATAACCGCAAGATGTCACGCGAAATAAGTCATTGCACTGCAAAAACAATATTGAGTCAGTGAAAAAGTATGTGACGCTGTCGGCCAATTAAATGAAACTTTTTGACTGTCTCAATTAAGGCTCCTGAGGAGTCGCATCATCCATCTCTTTTTATTGACGTCAATGTTAAATATTGGAGGGTCAAATTTAAATCAATTTCTTGAGTTAAATAATATTTAGTTATTTTTAACTATCATGTGTGTCAAAATTTACTATTTTAACACAAAACATGTGTTTAAAAAAACAAGCACATCTAATCAACCCATTTAAAACAATATTAAGTCATTTTGTACTAAAACAAAGTTTACATTAACGTGCACATAATAAAAAATAAACTAAATTTTAGTCAAATTTAATACATTTTTTAAGTTAAATTATTTAACTCCATTACATTAGTTAAATTAACGAAATATTTAGTAGGAGCAGTGGCGATTTATAGGAATGGTTAAAAATAACTCTATAAAATTGAGTATAATTTGATACTACGGATTTAACAGTGCAGAAGCGACAAAATGAATGCTAAAAATTCCTGCAAAGTACGTCGAGATAAACAGATATATTCACAAAACGACATTTGCGATCGATATTAAGTACATCTCTAAAATACTACGTATACTTCCCTTTTGTTCTAACAATCAACAGATAATTATAAAATAAATGCGACGTATAATCGTCTTTTCTAACTTAATTTCCTCATTATCTTGTTATATTAATTTTCCGATTATCTATTGATTTTTGGAACAAAAGGAAAGTGTACGAAGTATTTTAGAGGTGTATTTGATCGATTACAAATATCGTTTTGTAAATATATCTATTTATCTCTACACATTTTGCAAGAATTTTTAGCATGCGTTTTCTCGCTTCTGACGTCATTAAAAAGAGATGGATGATGCGACTCCCCAGGAGCCTTAAACTTCTACAGAGTTCTACGAGTTCTTAAATTAAATTAATTTACATCCGAAAAGACCGTGGAGATAATCCGCCGGTCAATCTGAAATGCATTTTCACTCGGTGACTTTTGCAGGTAAAATTTTCCAGCATGGTTTTTGTTGACGGCGCGAGCGGATTCGAGACCTACACCGAGATGGATATGGAAATGCGAAAGGAATTCTTGAACTTTAATATTTGTACAACATTTGCGTTCAACATCCGGCTGAATCTGGACAGTATCATGCCCGCGCAAGACCCACTCCCGTCCATCTCCAATGGAGAATTGTTCGATCTAAACTCATACGATATATTGAGCAACATGTATTAGATGCGAGAGAGAGAGAGAGAGAGAGAGAGAGAGAGAGAGAGAGAAAGAGAGAGAGAGAGAGAGAGAAACGTATGGTGTACTTGTCACACTTGTAGATAAACTGTAGAACTTGTATCCAGTAAAAAATAAGAACTGTAAAGGAACATTAATAAAAAGCATCTAATAAAAAAAATGGGATACATTTCTTAAAGCAACATCTTCTCCATCTTGTTCTTCTTCGGTTGTTGTGATATCGAGTATCGGGTCGGACATTTCGGGAGGGAAGATTCGTCCGGAAATTGGCATTAATTTTGCATGAATTGTTTACAATTAACTCACAGCAAAGCGATATAAACGTTACAAATACATAATAAATTTTGTTTTATTTAAATTACGCGTACATTAAATTATAACTAGAACGATGGACGCATGTTCATGTTCACATACGCATACGCGCATATATATACACACACACAGAGAGAGAAATTGAATACACGTGTCGTGAGTGTGCGTATATACGTACGTGTGCGTGCGCGTGTGTGTCTATACGTGAAATTTACGTATACAATGATTATCGCGAATTCAAAGTTATTTCATTGATCGCGATATACTTAGCTCTAATTAGTCGAATTGCAAATGGCCCTCGAAAATTTAGGAGTCGCGCGTATTCAATCCAACACAATTCTGCGTTGATCTAAACCGACGCAAACACTTCGAGCTCGCGTCTCGTGTAATTCCATTCCCTCGGCTTCTCCCTTTTTCTCGAATAACATTCCTTTCCCTTTATCTTCCTACGTGTTACACGTTACAATCAACACATTGTAGTCACACGTCTATTTAGCTATTCCCGTTTGCTCTCTCCTCGGGACAATAATGCCATACCTTGAAAAGACACACAATGAATCTAATGACAACAAATTGAATAAATTTGGAGGATCAATGCAAATCGATATATACAAATCGATAATACACACATTGCACTTCTTGTCTTACACATATTCGATATATAGACAATTTTCTCGTACCTCGCAACGCAACTAATCAGCCTAACAGTTGTAGATAATATGTAACCAATGATCCGTCGTAACTTAAGTCAGTGAAACTTATTCGACCGCAAAAGTATGCTACGTTTCTAATAAATGTCCGTGTTAACCCCCTGCCTCTCTTACACGGCAGTCTTTAAAATTTGACGCGAGCGCAAATTTAACAAATATATGCGATACAACACAGGCTTTAACGCTCTGAAAAAAATCATCAAAAAGAGTTTCAGTCATTTCCTTTTAACCTCGCGATTAATTTTCGCGAACATATCGTTTCAGCGTTCGCTAGAGTTAGATGCGTAAGTACGTTTCTTTCTTCTTTTTAATCCGAATCGATTATAGATACCATGCAAACATCGGATCGCGTTTTACCTCGGCTACTCACAATGGCACGATTATAATATTTTTTTTCTGCCTTATCGCGTCCTGCCGCATCGTTTTCGTCACCTGCGGCGGCGAGAATCATCGACTCATCATCGACTGACGCCTCTTGAATATATATGATTAGTGACATAGAAGATATTATCTCGCTAATAGCGTGGAAACAGCAAATTTCAAAGATAAAGCATTTAAAGGCCTTCCTCCTTCCTCTCTTTCTCCTCACCTACTTATCCCAGAAACTGCAATTCTTCTCTTTCGGTTAGAGCCGCGCGGAATGTAGAAAAATTTATCGGTATCCTCGTGTGTGGCGATGCGTTTGTAAAATACGACGTATGGGAATTTGGTATAGGCTTCACGTGCGCGCGAATCACGCTGGATGTAAAATCCGCTAACAGACGACACAACGGAGCCAAAAAAGAGATTAGACCGTTACCGACAGACATCACGTGATTCACTGAGAGCGTGTGTGGTGTGTAAAATATAACAGTTTAAATACATCACAAATCTTTTACGTCTATCGCTATATCAAACTCGTATGTATACCTCGTATTAAGTGTATATTTCACGACTGCGCTGTATAATTCGAGCATTAAACTATCTCGGTGAATACTCTGGGTATCTAGTACGCGCCCGACGATCTGCCCGGTGAAAATGTACGCGGGGCACCCCGGTACCTTTGAGTTTTCGACGGGAATTTCTTCGAGGAAAAATTTCGAGGGGGAGATCATCGCTCATCTTGTACTTGAATATTCGACATTTTGATTGCATCACGCGCATTCGAACTGCTTTTCAATCACGTCGCGATTCAAGGTCCGAGGCGCTTTGTTGTATGGTGGGAAATACTTGCGAACGCGCACAGGGAATATTTCTCGCGACGTCGTTCCTAATGTGCTCTCTCTATTTGGTCGCTTCGCGGCGAAGTGTTCTTTCGGTATAAAATCGATTTATACAAATCTGCCGCGGTACACCGAGTAGTGTGGAAACGAGTGATATGATCGTTGCTAAAACAACGGAGAAGGAGAATCCCACGTTGGTGCGGGTAAGACACGATAATCAGTCGCACGTCGTAGAAAAGTGTCGAGAGCTCGTGTAACGGCAATCCGATGCGGCAACGACGATTTGCCCGCGCGGTTTCCGTCTGTATCGTAAGAAAAGACATACTTCTGGCACGAAAAAAATACTGGACCCATCGTGTACCTTGGATACCCCGAGACCGGTCCGAAGCATTGTATCCAATGTATCCGTCGTCGCGTTTCAACGCCTACGAGAGCCTGTCTATTTAAAGTGTCTCTTAATTTTCAAGTTCACACACCCAAAGTACCGTTAATGCCGCTTTATCCAATGGCAGAATTATTACATACGTACATACAGCATACGTCGAGATGTTATACATAAATTTCTCAATCGAAAGATATCCAAGATTCACGGTAACGCATTTTCCTCACCCAACTAAATATATAACGCAATCTTCTCGCTTCTCTTCACGAATTCCTCTAGCCCATCAGTCCAGCCTAACGACGGAAATCGGGAAGTCAGACTAACATCCTGTATCCGATATCGGCACAGTTACTTCACGAGTGACAATGGAATGCGAAAACGAATCCGTATACGCTCGCGATACTCGTTTGATGAGCGAACGAGAACCGATCTCGTCGTCGTCGGGATTTCCTAGGGGCTTCCCCTTCTCGTCTTGTGGATTCTTTCCTAGTAGACTCTCTCTTCGAAAGAACAAGCTAACCTAGCCTACATATATACAGTTATTACGCTCGTGGAAGAGACGCAAGGCGTGACCCGTCGCCAGTCGAAAGTCCGTTGTGTACAAAAGTGACGGCACGTGGAGGTGGGAACACGTCGTCGCTGTGGGTGGCGCGACATTATTGGCCGTTGTTCATGTTGTTCATGTTGTTCTGCTGGTTCTTCACGGAGTCCATGTTGGGGATGTAGTCCATTGCCATTAGGCAGGCGAACACAGTCATCACCATCTTCGGCTTCACTTCGGTGATGTCCTCTGGCAGCGCGTAAACGCGCGCTCCGCACTTCCGGGCCAAGGATATCGCGTACTTCGCGTTGTCCAGGCTCTCCTGCTCAACGAAAAGACCGGTAGTCGTCAATTAGTTACGCCAACGTGCCATCGTTGGGAGAGAGGAAGGCAGGAAGGGAAGGAGGGATCGATTGATCCACCTAGACCAGCATTCCGCCGCGTTTCCGCTATACAATTGATTGATTTCTGCTCGCTTTCAGAACCGCCATCAAGTAGACGAAACTAATTTCTAAGTTCTGATTTCTAAGTCGGAGTATCCGATCTAAATGGTTTTTCTCTTAAAAACTTGGGAAGATGTAAGATAAGAAAGACATTACTGAGTCCTTACCTCCTCGGTTCCGCCTTCTTTCACGAGATCATAGTTCACCGAGCCAGGCTTGATGGCATCGATGAGATCGATTACGACCTTGCCGTCTGATATCGCATAATCCTGGAATCCTTTAATACTGCTGGACTTGCCCGCTGCTTGCAGTTTTGAATTGACCCATTGGACTATTTCCTTTTCGACGAGGGTGCTGCCTTGGGTGCCGGCTAAAGATGTCAAAATCGACAAGGTGTACGATCTCATTAATTGCCAGATCAGTGCTAACGTGAGTGTCGCATTTCCGTCGTTGAGATCCTGCCCAGCAATGCCCACCAATGAGAAGTTCATCTGCTTGCCTAGTTCGACAGCGTAATTACAGTTCTCTAATTTTTCCATGAATTTCCTGAGCTTGGTGAACTTCTTGTGCACTTTATTCCAGTTCACCGTGCCTGGTTTGATGATATCGTAAAGCTGGAATATCACCAGACCATCAGCTAGGTCAGAATAAAGCCAATTAACGTGCGGCATCACGCCCATTGAGTTCATCCAATTCCTGTAAGTCTTCTCCTCTCTCGTCTCCTCCAACGACTCTAGACCTTCGATGTTGCTCTCGGGTTTGTCGAGTCCAGGATAATTGTTGAACATATTGGCGACGAAAGCCAGATTGAGCTTGTAGATACCGTTCACTACATCACTCGGTGTGACGAAACTGCGGCACCCTAGTTTGGCCGCTTGCTGAAGCATGACCTCAGCCCTGGACATGTGATTCGGTTCCATCAACGCCTCTAAGGTGACACCAGCTGTGCTGGGTGCAATCTGCTTAATGAGATAGGTGTAGATCTCAGAGTCCGTGATGTCGGATTGGAAGTTGTTACACCTTCTGGCGATGCCGGCGTTCTCCAGGTGATGATTCACCCATCTGAGCAGAATTGACTCCGGAGAGAGCTTCAGCAGATCCTCGATACGTTCACCGTCCTGCAGAAGCGTGGCCAGACCGGGACAGTTCTCCAAAGTGATCTGGTTGAATAGACCGATTCGGATGATCTGCCATAGCAGACCAAGCACCAAATGTGGTGAGCCTTTCGTGAGATCGTGGGCGTCGATGTTTACGATATTGCAGCCTATAGCCTGGGCCGAGGACAGAGCCAGCGTTAAGTTCTCATGTTTCTTGTACAGCGTCAGATTCTTTTTGTTGATAGTCCGCTCGTCTATGGTGTCCGGGCAGGAATGATTGATTATTTTACTGAAACGTGAATGAGAAGTTAATTTTGCAGCTCTAATCAATATTTAACACTAGATATTTTGTCAACAGAAACAAATCAGAATTTATATTTTTCTTCATTTAGAAATTAATCCAAATTTACAAATATCACAAGAGATAGTCTTTAATCGGCGTAAGAAATAAACTTTAAGTTAATTAGAACTTTGAGCTATCTTCCTCAACATTTTCGTCAAGAATAATCAACTCGAAATTGATAAAAAAATCTGCCTTTAAAAAATCACATGATATAATGGGGAGAAACTCTATGGAGATAAAAGAGATACTGTTGTGTCCAAAAGATACGTACCAGAGCAATATTCCGTCTTTGACTTTCTCATAGAGCGTCTTTCCTTCGGCATCGATCGGCAACAGGTGCTTCAAATCGGGATCGTGCGACAGATTAGTGTTGATCCAGTCGCTGAACGCTAATTGTTCCTCGAGCCTAACAGAGTGCGTGGTACCCTCGCTGGACGCTTCGGAGATTCCGCCCAGAGTCTCGAGGTTCTCCTTCTTCGAGACGACCTGCTTGAACGTGGAGCCGAGTTCGTTGGCCTTCAGCTCCTTGCAGAGCTTCTCGAACTCCTCGAACGAGAGCCGACCTTTGTGCTCTAGCTGCTGTTTATCGTCGTACTCCTCGATCATCTGGCGTACCTTGTAGCCCGGCATCTTGAAGCCGCACACGTCCAATGCGTTCCGCAGCTCGGTGACGTTGATGAAGCCGTCTCCATTTGCGTCGATCTGTCGAACAAGAAGGAAAAAACGTCAAACATTCCGCCGATGACTCGATCGTACGTCGTATGAATCACGGAATCTGGATACTGACGTTCGTGGACTTGCAAAGACGAATTTTGTGACGAATTTCTCGAAAGTTCCTTATAAATTTACCTTTACAATTTGTTTTTATTTCATTCGATTTTAATTCAACGTTGACTTACAATTTTCAATTTCACAGATATAATTTCATACTCGATTATCGTTTCTTTTCTGACGCATTGCTTCGTTTTCCTGGACTTTTCTGGTTCTAAGACTAATGTTGACGCACTTGATTCGTGGATTTCTTCTTTTTTCGCACTGACACCTACCGCGAATAATTTATGCAAGATATAAACATTTTCTCTCGTACTTTTCCGCGCGATCGAGGTTGAGTAACGATCGTGTCGGCCGAATGATAGCTGAAATCGTACTTGCAACATCGCTTTGCTGAGACGCGACTTCCGTCGTGCGGAAGCGCTCTACGCGTCTATTGGAGAGAGAGAGAGAGAGAGAGAGAGAGAGAGAGAGAGAGAGAGAGAGAGAGAGAAAGAAGACAAACGATTACATACATGCAGATAATAAAACACAATTAATTTAATGATCAAGACGCGCGGTAACGAGCGTTAACAGGTTTCGTAAGGCACCGCGATAATCAAAGGATAACGCCACTCTTGGAATCGAACGGATGTGAGAACCCTACACGCCGCGTTAACCGACGGCTCGCTCTATTGTGCAGTTATTTCTTTGTTTCTTCAATAGATACATAGCGGATGTCACGCTTCAACGTAATCACTTTTGCTCTCGGGCGGGAAGCGCGAAGAGAAAGAATCCGAAATCGAGAATTGCGGTTTGCGTTCGCCGATCGTTGTTGCCTGCAAATCTCGATGCCTGCATTTGTTCGAAACCAGAGAAAAATTCTGAAGAACGCGGTGCCATGAGAAGAGCGAGTGGGAGGAAATCATGTCTCCTTGTTGTGACCAGATTTCGCGTAATGTGCAATCGCACAGCGTCGATTTTTAGATCTCTTTCTCTTAGAAACCTTTTATCTTATTAAGGTAGAAACGAAGAAAGACCGGGGATTTACAGTTTGTTACTCTTGAGCGTAACAGGATCCTGAATGAATTTGTATTAAACCTGAGCTTCATTCCCTACATTCATCATTACGTTGCGACGCGTTCGCATTCCGAATATTCCACGGTGGAGTCCCGTAAGAAAGCGCGTTGCGTAAGGAACGCACCCACGACGACTTCCGTGCGTCGCAGGAGGCCGTCCGTGCGAAAGAAATCCAGGTCGCGGGAAAAATTCCGCTAGGATCCGCGAGCGTATCCAGACACCGCTCGTAGACATCGCAATTTTCGCGAGAACAATAGGCATACGGTAATGACGGCCACGACGACGGCGACGGCGGCGGCGACGGGAAAACAGTCATATGGAGGTTTCTTGGAAGACCGCATCGGGGTCAATCGACAGTTCCTTATGCCCATTCTTGAGAAATGCCCCGCGAGAGCTCTCGTTGCCGAGCGGCTAATTAACATTTCATTCTCGACAAACACGCGCGCGAGCTGCGCCGTCGAATCGAATGCAAAACTCATCCTCGCGAGGAGATCGGCGCTGGCGATCGCGCGACGATGACGTGCGCGAGAGGGGCCCGGCCGACTCGAGATTTATGCGAGAAAATCAACGGGCATGAATCAGACCCGCGTTTATTCACGCGAGACTACGCAAATACGCCGCTTAGCCATTCGGCTTCGTTAATGAACGAGCTAATCGAGCGCGCTCGAAACGGAACTCGTAGATGCGTGCGCACGCTTTTCTTGTTTTTCCTCCGGCCCTCGTTATATTATCAGGCCCCATTGGATCCAATTGCAAGTCACGGAGCTATTTTTCCTTGCTAACAATTCCAACCATTTGTCCGAATTTACACTTCATAAATTTACGAGAATGATTTTCTCGTTGGTGCAATAAGTTATATATTGGGTTGTATAAGCAATTTCGGATATTGCTGGAAAAATGAAACGATTATATTTTCATGCCGTTGTAAAACATTGTTTTATGAAACAATGCGTGCAAAGAGTAGCGGAAGTCACATCAAAATGGCGCATTTTATAAAATTAACACTGTTTTATAAAATTCATTTATTTTGTCTATTTACGCGGGTCATTTCTTTGATACAGTGCACAAAATGTAGATCGTTATAAAATAAAAAAGTAAATGTCCCAAGAAAGAATTCATGCAAACGTGAATTTAAACGATAATAAACGTAAATTATAACGATATAAAAATACAATTATAACGATGTAAAAATACATTTTACCAGGAAAATCCTAGGTTACATTGTTGTTACTTTGTTGTTACACACACAGCCTAGTTTTTTTGTAATGTAAATCGTTATAAAATAAAAAAATAAATATCTCAAAAAAGGCAATAAAGAATTCATGCAAACGTAATTTAAATTATAACGACATAAAAATACAATTGTTTCATTTTACCAGGAAAATCCTAGATTACTTGTTACACACACAAACTAGTTTTTTTGTAGATCGTTATGAAAAAAAAGTAAATGTCCCAAAAAGGCAATAAAGATTTCATGCAAACGTAATTTAAATTATAACGACATAAAAATACAATTGTTTCATTTTACCAGGAAAATCCTAGATTACTTGTTACACACACAAACTAGTTTTTTTGTAGATCGTTATGAAAAAAAAGTAAATGTCCCAAAAAGGCAATAAAGATTTCATGCAAACGTAATTTAAATTATAACGACATAAAAATACAATTGTTTCATTTTACCAGGAAAATCCTAGGTTACTTGTTACACACACAGCCTAGTTTTTTTAAATCTCGCAGCTACCGATAATTAATTAGTGGATCGAATTAGCGGAAACAATTATTATCGAAATATCGAGGAAAATAAATCAGACGCGACGAATTATTTTCTTAGACATTGAGATATTACGAACAGGAGAGAAAAAGCGGTCTTTATCGAGCGCACGCGCAGAATTCTCTCTTAATTGGTGCAATTTAAATCCATTCTACGACATATCGACTGTCCTTGACGACATATCGTATAACAGGGTTTCAGCGAATGCATCTAATTAGCCGAGAGGATTCGTATTGCGATCGTCCGCCTGACGAAGAAAATTCGTTGTAGAAACGAACGAACTCGTCGATATTTTCCCGTGTCTTTCGCATTTCCCGAGGCAGAAGGACGTCGTTGAGTTGACGCCCTGAGCAAAGTGACTTTATCGAGACTATCGTCTCGCGCCAGCGGGAGAGCGTGCCGCGCGGAAAGCCGAGGAAATGGAAGTTGAGTGCACTCACTAACTTAAATAGCCGCTCGAAATCCTGGAAGTACTCCTCCACGGCGTCCCATCTTTTCAACTTATAAATTTCCATGTCGACGGCGAACAGTGGAGGATGCCGGCTCGCGGTAGAAGAGGCTCAGACTCGCGCGACATACAAGAGCATACTGGCCGTATCGTCGCGATGGCTTATCAGCCTTATCGATTGCATGATAACATGAAAATGGGATGTAAGTGAAAAATATCACACGCGATATCCCTGGAAACGTCGATCGAGTGCACTATGCGACCCACACTCGAAAACAATCGCCTTATCGCGCTGCCCATGAAAAATCGAAAACAAAATCGGAGACCTGAATTTTTCTCGCGTGGCGCCCACCAGAACATTTTCCTCGCTCGAAACTCACCTCAAGTGAGACTCGCTGAAAATTCACGTCTAACTCTAAATTAAAATATGGGCGTCTCACCTGAGACGAGTTCCAAGTAATGACTATTAACACGGATCTAAAAGACCTGTTGATAGTTATTATTTGAAACTCGTCTCTCAAGTGAGAAACTCAGATTTAAGCTCCAAGTTAGATAAGAGTTTTTCAGTTATGAACCGTGATTACAGATATAAACGTCACATATATCTATATAAAAATCTAAATATCTCATCACGTGAGACAAGTTTCATTAATAGTAAACGGGTCTAAGGGATGTGAAAATCGTGCACACACACACACACATGCCACAGCAATTTCTAATGTTTTCTCTATTTAACCGGATCAAACGTCATCGGTTACGCAAAAACGCGCGCTGAGCTTTCACGAGCTCGTGGCGATTCACGGTCTTCTCGGTTGTTACTCGCTCGGTATCGACGAGAGCCGGTAAGATAATTAAATAACCCAGCCTCTTCGTGTGCCGTCGTGTCATGACGCAATTACCGGACGATAAGTCGAGGAAGTCGAGGAAGTCTTGCGATACACGCGTCTTCACGGAGGACGTAAGCCACGATGACATACCTATCGATGATTTCATAATAATACAATGCGCCGGCGAAGATAAGATACACGGTAGCAGTTGGAAATATCTACGCTAAAAACCGCCTATTTTTTTCCACCTTTTTATTGAATGGCAATAATAATGGCATGTCTCGATGGGGCTTTACGGTACATGATGTGAGCAGATACGTTATCCAACTTTTGCTTATCGTGGCATGTACAGTTTCGAGTATGTAGCAAAATATTTATTTTGCCTCTTTGTATGATATATTACACCGCTTTTTTTACCAGTGTTATCTCTATCGCGTATTTTTGGCTCGCATATATTAATAAAGGCTTTCGCGTATATTAATAAAGGCTCGAACAAATTCACGACGTATCTTCTTCTCTTTTTCTCTTTCACATCGACGCAACGCGCGACGCTTTCAGTTTTCCCATGAAATCATCTTTTACCACACCGGAAGAGAGAGAGAGAGAGAGAGAGAGAGAGAGAGAGAGAGAGAGAGAGAGAGAGAGAGAGAGAGAG